TGCATACTTTTTTTATTACTACTTATAATTTGCCCTATTTTAAATATTTTAATTAGATAAAATTACAAAAAATAAGTGTAAAAAGATTTATCCGAACGAATAATTTTGTTAAATTCTTTAGAATATCTAACCAAATTATAAACTGTTAATTAGAAAATTGTATAATTATTATTTTAAAAATAAGAAATTCAAAATACTATATATATAAAACTTTATCTAAATACTATTTAAAATACATTGGTAATAATATAAAACATGTATAAGCTTTTTGATAATTATTAAGTTTAAAATAATTAAAATTAAAGTTCATTTAAAAATATTTATGAATGGATTTTATATGGAAATGTTTGTGAGTATTATGTATAATATCACGATGTTTTTATTAATAAAAATAATTATCATTTGTGCGTTTAATCTTTTTAGGGTGTTTTGTAAAGAGGATTAATTATTTCATTTAAATATTCTTTCGATTTTTTTAATAATCTTTAGTTCGTTTATAGTCAAAGCTTAGAAACTATGAAATAATAGTTTATTTTGTTAGAAAAAAATTAATAATAATAATTTGCAATTGATACTATTACCTAAAGTATATATTATATTGAAGAATTTTATTATTATATTAATAAAATTTCCTACACTAAATAAATTTAATTTATAGAAATTTGCATGTTTTCTGCTTAAGTTTTTATTGCGTTTTCGGTTGTTTTTTTTGGGTGGTTCTTTCTATATAAAGGGGCTTAAAAAGAAATTTTTTAAATAAAATGCTATTTATAATTATTTAATCTTAATTTAATTATTGAAAATAAACCTATTCTCTAATATTTTAAAAGTAAATTTTGAAAAATAATATTTTCTTTTCTTGATTTTCAAATATTTTATTAACTGCTAATTATACTAATAACTTAGACTATTATTATCATAACTTCAATATATTTTATAAGTTAATATTATAATCTTTCTATTTTCGTAGAAAAAAAAAATATGCTCTATCTTATTTAAAATCAAAACATATATTATTTAATTATGTATCATGTATAATCATAAATTTCTTTTAAATATTATTTAATATTTTTTTAAAAAATTAAAATATATTTTAAAATATAAAATACTTATTTACCAGAATCCATAAAATTATAAATTTATATTTTATTAAAAGCGAAAGCTGTCAAATAAAACACCGCAAAATATTATATTATATTTGTATAAAATATATAAAAAATTAAATTTATAAATATTGGATTACTTTAAAAAAAGTAAGTAAAATTTTTTATAAATTAGGCCAAACATATTTTATTGATTATTTCATTTATAAATTATAGAATTGGCCTTTTATTTAAAAAAATATAAATATAGTTTACTTAAAAATCATAAATTTCAAAAGATACATAGCAAAATTTTTATACAGGAATACATTTATTTATTTTAAGATTTTAATAGAAAAATATCATTTTTAAGTGAATTTCATAAAAAAATTAGACTTTATTTTGCTTAAAGATAAATAATATTTTAATTCAAGTAGATATATTTATTAATTTTGTAACTTTTATAGATATTTTATAAAAAAATTCATACATTTTATAAATTAATTTATGGATAAAAATTATAAGCAATAGTATTTATAAAAATATAAATAAATAACTACTATAGTCTCTTTTTATATAACTATTATAGACCCCTTATATAACTAACTTCTAAAAAAATTGCGAAAATTTTGGGGTTTTTTAGGGAATATTTTATTTTTATAAAAGTATACAAAAGCATAGTATACTTAATTTTTTTGGACATGTTTTTAAAAATTATAAATTGTAATTAATTTTTTTAAAAATTAATACTTTTTTAATAAATATAAATTTTAAATTGATTTAATTATTAAATGTTTAATAAAACTTACTTTAAATAATTAATTTTCATAATTTATTAAATTTAGTTATAATAATTTAAAGTTGATATGGTTTATATAAAATTTATCTTAATGTTATAAACTCTAAATTCTCAAGATTTTAATCATATCAAGTTTATTTGGAAGATAATGAAAGATAAAATAAAAATAAATAGAATTTAATAATTAATATGCATTATAATTATTTATAATACAAGTTTAGAATTTATTAAATTAATTAAGAAGTTAAAAATAAAATTAACCAAATAATAAAAAGATTGCCTTTTATTATAAAAGAAAATATAGAATTAATTTTATGTATTTGAATATAATAATAAATATATGTATACGTTTTTATATTTATCTTAAATATTAAAATATGTTTATATATAATTCTCTTAATATTCGCATTATTATGAGACAGATTTTAGTGTTTATAAGTTTATGAGACAAATTTTAGTTTTATAAGTTTTTCAAAATAATATTCGAATATCAATTTTACAAACTTTCGAATACTAACATATAAATTTTATTCAAATATTTAAATAGTAAGTTTGTCTGGATATTTTAATAGCACCCTTAAATATTTATTTGTTATGCTTTTTTGAAAAATATATTTATTTTAAACATGAATTTAATTTAAATTTATATTTTTTAAAAACATTAATCTATAAATATTTGGAAAAAAAAAAAATCAATAATAATAAAAAAAAGAGGTAAAAAAATGAGCAACTCTACTATTATAGGGGCACTAGAAAATTGCCTTGCCTTACATAATTTATAAAAAGGATAACGATAAATAGATTATATAGTATAGAATTTAATATATAGAATAAATCAATAAAATTATCTATATAATACTTAATAGTTATAAAAAAATGAATACAGGATAAAATATGATAAAAGAACAAACAAGATTATTAACTAATTGAATATAATGAAAAAAAAAAAGAGGAAGATATTGATGTTGATATCGAATATGAAAAAGGTTAAATTAAGAAATAAAAATTATAAATATGTATTAATTTATGGAATATAAATGGTACCAAAATAAATTGATTTGAATTAAATAAAGAGATATAATAATTAAATTAATTAGAAAAAAATTATAATTGATAAAATGATTTATTGAAAAAAAGATAATTAAAAAGTAATGAATATTATATACAAATAATTAATGATAAAAATATAATGAAATAGACTAAAAAAAATTTAATGCATGAAATAAATAATATAGAAAAATAAAAAAGAATAATACGTATCTTATAAAAAAATTATAAAAATAGTGAATAAATTAATGAAAAATTATAAAAATATTATAAAAAAAATAATAATAATTTACTTAATAAAGAAAAACTTTTTGTTTTAATTTAAGTAGAATGATTGATTTCTTGAAGAAAATTAATAATATAATTATTTATTGTCTAAATATAAGATATAAGGTATAAATTATTCTAAATACTATAAAGTTATTAAAAATTATACTCAATTAAAAATTTGCGTTGAAATAGCTACTTTAACTAACTACAAATATATAACTTGTATACACAATAATCATAATACAGATAAACTGTAGATACTTAAGATTTAGGTAATTAATGGATATGTCTTTCTTATAGTTTGGCATAGAGAAATAAAAGAGAATTTAAAAACTTTGAGACAATAATCACATTGTAAAAAAATCATGAAAAAAGTAATTCATGTATGGTAAAAATATTAGCTACTTACTTGAATTACTAAATGATCATAGATGAAGATGATATATTTGAATAAGATATATAAATATAAGTATATATTAAATTAATTAAGAAAATTATGAATATATATCTATACTTTTTTAAAATAATAAAAAAATCTTTTATTTAAATATCATAAAATAAATTAAATAGAAAAAATATTGCATAGATATAATATAAATAACATAAAAACTTTAAAATATAATAAACAAAGATAAGAGAATTATAATTAAAAAATATAAGAATAATATATGCCATAGTATAATTTGCCTGTATCAATTATAATTAAGATAGAATAAAACGAAATGAGTAATAAATACCTTTATTAACTAAAAATAAAAGAATAATGTACATGAAAAAAAAAATTGATTTTTTTTATTTTTATATATTTAAATGTGATTAATGAAATTATTTACATTTTTTAACAAATTTACAACTATATTCTGTATTAAAAAATTAGTAATTTTTTTATTTTTTTGATTAATTAGTTTTAATTTTTAATGTGAAATTTTAATATATAAATATAATGATATAAAATATGCATAATAATAATTGTATATGCATTGAATATTTATAATTTATAAAATATATATTTAATAATTTAATATTATAAATTTTAAAAATTATATTTTACAATTATTGATATTTTTTTGTAAATTTAAAAATTAAATTATATTTATTTAATATAATTATCGTTTATTATTAAATTTATAAATATATATTTATAAAAATATTTATTCTTGTAATTTAGTTTAAAAAGATAATTTTTATAAATAGATTATTTTTCATATTAATATTATTATTTTTTTAAAAAATATTTTCTCTTTCAATGAAATATTCTTTTTTAATTTGTAACTTAAAGGATTATATTTTTTAAATAATTTTATATAATAAAAAGATATAAAATAATTTATATTTGAAATTCATTTATGAATATTTAATATTTTCCAAAATTTAATTAAAATCAGGTCTTTAGTCTTAATTTTAATCCCAACATTTTTCAATTAAACCTTTAATAAAAGATGGGCATCCACTATCTAATTAATCTAAAGGAAGCCTATTTCCTGAGCAAACATGTTTCATTATTTCTACTGGTTCCATATTTTTATAAGGAGTTCTTCGCGAGAAAATTTCCCATAAAACAACAGCATATGAATATATATCAGCTTTTATAGAATAATATTTATTTTCGAATATTTCAGGAGCCATCCAATGAAAAGTTCCTAATACAGAAGTCATTAATTCTGAACTTTAGGTTCTAGAAAGACCAAAATCAGCCACTTTTACATGAAAAGAATCTATATTATTTTAAGAAAAAGGTTAATCTAATAAAAGACTATAAATAATTATATATTTATTAAACTTATTTTTATTAAAAAAATAACTTTAATGATTTTAAATCTCTATGTATTATAGGAGGATCAAAATTATGTAATTATTGCATTCCTAAAGCAATATCTTTAGCAATTTTAATTCTAAAATCAAAACTAATTTATACTTATTTTCTTCTTTTATGAAATAAATCAAAAACAGTTCCTCCATAACAAAATTCAGTTATTATATAATATTAATCTTCATTTTAAGAAACTCCGATAAATTTAACCAAGTTTCTATGGTTTTTTATTTTTAAAAAAGAGTCGATTTCTCTTTCAAATTCTATTTAGTTTTTTAAATTTTCTTAATCAATTTTTATTTCTTTTATAGCTACTTCTTAATTGTCTATTTCTCCTTAATATACTAAAGCTGAATGACCTTTATTATTATTTTTTATTTTTTTGATTTAAGATTTTTTATTTTTACCTTTGCCTATTTAATTTTTTATTTTAAGATTTTGAAATGAAAATATATAATTTTAAGGTATTTTAGGATTTATTAATGTTAATAAATTATCTTGATTTTTTAAATTTAATTATTTTAAATTATTACTTCTAACTATTGTTGAAATTTTTTGACAAATAATGGTTTTTTATTCGTATTTCCCATTTCTTTCATCAATATCAATTTCATTAAATTCTTCTGCAGCTTTATGAGATAGATGATTATTATTATCAATATTATTATCTATATTATTATCAATATTATTATCAATATTAAAATTATTATTATTAATATTATTATTATTATTATTATTATTATTATTATTATTATTATTATTATTATAATTATTATAATTATTTTTATTATTATAATTATTATTATTATTTTTAATAGATTTATTTTCAATATTATTTAGTTATTCTTATTTATTTTTTTCCGATATAATAAATTTTATTTTTATTGGTTCTTTTTATTTTTATTAATATTTATTCATTTTAAAAATTGAATTTTATATAATTTTCGTATCGCAACTTTAAGAATGCTGTTTTTATAATTTCATAAATACATTTGAATTCTCTATTTTATTTTTTACATTATAAAATTTAAAATTTTGGAAGTTTTCTTCATTTTCCTATAATTCTATATTGTTTTGCTAACTTTTACATATTATCTTACTAATTTCTTCACTTTTATTAAGATGTGTATTACTTATTATGTGTTATGACTCTAATGAATTATTAGAAAAAAAATAACTTGTTATTTTATTATTATCTTAATAATCGCCTTCTGAATCACTATTAAATATTATTAAATTGTCATTGTTATTTTTATTATTTTCATTTTCTTTTAATTCTTCATTACTTTCTGTATTTTAGAAACTATTCAATATATTCTTTTATTATTCAATTATTTAAGCTTTTTATTTCAAATTATTCTTTATTTAAGAATCATTTTTGTAAGCATTTAGTGGTGTATTTCCTGATATGTTTTTTTTGCGTTTGAAATCATCAAATGTAAAGAAATTTACTGAAAAGTTTTAAACATTATACACATTATTACTATTTGTGAAATAAGAAAAAGGTATTTTTAAACCATAAATACTCTTTTTATAATTCAAATATTCTGCAGGATTATAATTTAAAGATGAAAAACATTATTTAGAATAGATATAACTAATTGCTTATTAATCTAATATAGGAAAATTATTTTATAATTTTATATTTTTATTATTTTTTTAGACTTTTTGGAAAAACTGTTAACTTTTAAGAAAAGTTTCCTCATATTTTTTCTAATAGAAGTTAATTTTATCAAAAAGGAAGGTTTCGTCAATTTCTGTGTTATTTTTAACTAATGAAGTACTTGCGATAATAGTATTTAAAATATGAGTAATAGTACATAAAAAACAGAATAATTCGTCAACAATTTATACAGAAATACATGCTTAAATTTAAATAAGAATATTTTAAGTAAATATAAATTCACATAAATTATTAACATGATCAAAATATTCGAAAAAATCATCCAAAAAAAGAACGGAAACAGGTTTAAATTCATTACTTTAAATATTACAAAAAAGTGGTTTTAATGAAAAATTTCCTTCTATAATATGAATATATTTAATGAGTAAATTAATTTTTTCCTTAATTACAAATGAATATAAAAGTATTAGGCTTTAAATGTATTTTTAATCCTTTATTTTTGGCGCAGTTTATTTAATTATCCTTTTTAAAATGTCTATTATTGTTATTTTTTTATTTAATCCGTATATAACATCCTTTGGTCCTTTCCTAATATAAATATGTAGAAAAATAAGACTTTTAAGTGCACATAAAGGACCATCTTTAAATAATTTATGCATATAGATATATGTTTTATTGATATTATTAGATGGATTTTGCCAAGCTTTTTTAAGTAAAAAATTGATTTTTTTATTTATTATATTATGTAAATTTTATAAATTTTCCTCTAATATTTGTAAAATTGCTGCTTTAGTTTTTTATGTAAAAATTTGTTTATTTTTTATTGAAAAGTAGCAACAAATTTAACTTTTTGTTATTGAAAATTTTTTTTTATATCTGCGTTTTCTTTTTTTTCATCTTCCTCGCTTTTAATTTATAATTCTCCTGCTGTTGTGTTTTTCAATTTAAAATCAGGCCAACAATTAATCAAATATTAAAGCAAAATTTCCGAAGAAGGTCTCATATATTGATCTCTGGCAAGCATTCTTTCAATTAAAGCGTATAAATTTTGTGAATAAACAGGAAATTAAGGAATTTATATCTCACTATTGAGTGTTTATATATCGTTTTCAAAAGGTTTTTAATTAAAGCAAAGGAAAAATATTATTACTCCGACTGCAAATATATCTACTTTTTCTGTAATACTACAACCACTTACTATGTCTATTTCTTCTGGAGCTCGAAAACCATCAGATGTGTTTTTTAGTGTTTCTTCTTAAACTTGGGTGATGTTTTCTGGCTGTATGTTTTTGTGGATTTATGTACTTATGCATGTTAAATTGCCTATTTTGTAAGAATTGTCTTTTGTTTTGTATATAGATTATAATGTCAAGTTTCTGTGAATTATATTGTTTTTATGTAAAAATGCTAAACCTTAAAGGACATCGCGAAGTATTCGGACTATCTATATTTCTTTCAAAGCTTCAAATGGTAATTATTGGCATAGATTATAGAGAGAATTTAATGGAGAGTTTTCCATAATGAATACTGCTAGGTCTTTTTGAATAAATACATATTTATATGGGATTATGTTTGGATGATTTAATTCTTTTGTGTGTAACCATGATATATATTCTTACTTAAATAATTATGATTGCTTTTATTTATCTAATAATTTTATATACAAATTTGGATTTTCTTTTATAGTGTAAATAATGTTTTCACTTATTTCTATTTATTTGTCGAGTGTAAAATATATATTAAGTTGTGGATTTTATATTAGAAAATTTTTATAATTATTTTTTTTCATTTTTTTTTTCTATTTAAGTTATTTATATATATATATATATATATATATTAATATATATACGCATATTTTGTTTTTTTATAAAATTGTATAAATATTTTTAATATTATTATTTTTATTATATTATTATTTTTTGTTTTGTTTTATATATCTTTAATTGTATTATTATAATTATTTTAAAATTTAAAAATAACATCTATTAAAGATGATTTTCTTAATTTTTCATATAATATTTTGAATTTTATTTTAGAATATTTTATCTTTTTTAGAATATTTTATCATGTAAACTTATTAAAAATAATATTTACTGTAAAAATATTTTAATATATTATATAAGTTAATAAATAAATATGAAACTCATTTTTATTTTTAAATAGTAATATTATAGTAATAAAAAAAATGATTTAATTATATATTAAACGCCTTTTAAAACATAATAAAAGTAAATAAAATATTTTACTTTAATTCTTTTAATTTATATATAATATTATCTAGTTATAGTAACTAAATAAAAATAATAAATAATTTATTAATTTAAATTTAAAAATTTATATTTATTAATTTACTTATTAAATAAAATATTTTTTATTTTTTTAATTCTTTAAAACCTTGAAATTGAAAAGTTTAAACGAAATGTTTACTTTAAAAATCTAATATAAGCAAAAAATACATAATTAATCAATTTAATAATATATATAATTTATTAAATAAATCTTTAAATATATTAAATATTATTAAATATAATAATATTATTAAATAATATTTTATTAAAAAATATAAATTATAAATTACTTTTAATAAAAATTACCATTAAAATAAAAAATTATTTATATATATATATATATAAAAAAAAGTAAAACGTTCTTTTATATTATATAAAAAATAATAATAATATATTTAAAAAGAAAAAATATATAAAAAATAAATAAAAAACAATCAAAAAAAAGACCAAATAAATAAAAAGAATAAAATAAAAAAATGTCCGTATTTATAATAACAATAGAAGTATGTGAAAACTGTTAAGAACATGCTTGGTGTACTCATCATGATGAATAAAAATATAATCGTTTATATGAGGCAACAAAAGCTTAGATAATGTCAATATCAGAATTTCCTATATAAGTAAAAAGAAATTTCTCAGAGGGATAAGAAAACTAATTATAACCTCGAAGAGGTGCGTTTGAAATATCATATAATGGAGTGATAATATATTCAAAAATAAAATCTTAATTATTTCCTGAACCAATATAAATAAAATAGAGAGTAATTAGTTTTATAAAAGATTTATAAGCAGGAAAAGATGTGTCCAAATATGGAAATACAAAAGAAAAAAAATAAGCTCCTCCTAAAAAACCAAAAGATGAAGCAGCTATTTATGGAACTTATTATGTGGCTATTAAATAGGAAGAATAAAGGTAAGCCCTATTGAAATAATAATAAGAAGAAGAAAGAAAAAAAAAAGAAGAATAAGCAGAAATAGAAAGATAAAAATAAGCTGAAGACGATGAAAAATAAAGAATTATATAAGAAGAAGAAGAAAGGATAAGATTTTAACAGGAAGAAGAAGAAAGAATATAAAGAGAAGAATAAGAAAAAGTTGAAGAGGAGAAAAGAATAAAAGAAGAAATTGAATTAGCAGAAAAAAAAAGAATACAAGAAGAATAATTGAAATAATAATAATAAGAATAAAAATAATAATAATAATAATAATAATAATAATAATAATAATAATAATAATAAGATATATAATAAGAAAAACAAAAATGAAAAAACTATTATTTTTTTTTTTTATTATTATTACTTTTTTTTATTATATATCAAATATTCATTTTTTTTAATTATATTTTTTAAAATGATTTTTATTTTATTTTATCATTAAAATATATTTAATATTTTATCATTTAATATTTTTATATTATTTTTTTATTTATTTCTTAAAATAATATAAAAATATAAATGAAACTATTTTATTATATTGTTTATAATTATTTAAAATAATTAAATCTAGAATTATCTTGTATATTTTTAAAAAATTTTATATATTTGTATTTAAAATAATTTTTTTAATTTTTTATTCATTATTTTTCTATAAATATATTTTAATTTAATAACATTTAAAACTTTAATTTATTTATATATGTTAATTAATTTTTTTTTAAGTCATTTATTAATAAGTAAAATTATATTTTTTTAATTTTTTCGATTAATTTTGGTATTATAAATTTTATAATTAAAATAAAAATATTTAACAATAAAAAAATTATTTAAATATATAATTAAAATATAATTATGTAAAAAAAATTAAATTAAAATTAATTTTTTTAAAAAATGATTTATAAATATAAATTTTTAAATATTTTTAATTTAAAAAATAAAAAAGATATTAATTAAAAATAAAATAAAATAATAAAAATTAAAATTATTGAAATAATATTAGAAAATAAAATATATATTTGGAAAAATATTTTTATATTTATTTTCTTAAGATATTTAATAAAAAATTTTACAATAAAAAAATATTTATATAAAAAGAAAAATATATGTAATAGAATTTTACAAAAGATAAAAATCTAAAAAAAAACTAGAATGCTTAGTAAAAAATTTTTGAAATATTTAAATGAATTATAAATAAAAAAATGACTAAAATAAAAATATATAAAAAAATTGTAAAATATATATAAAAATAATGATAATAATAATAATAATAATAATAATAATAATAATAATAAAAATAATAATAAT